CTCGCTCTCGCTCTCGCTCTCGCTGCTCTCGCTCTCGCTCTCGCTCTCGCTCTCTCTCTCTCTCTCTCTCGCTCTGCGTCTCTCTGTCTTTCTCTCCGTCTGTGTCTCTCTTCTATTTCGCAGTAGTCCCATTCATCAGTCTTCTTGTTCATGATGATGATGACGTCCTCAAATACTTTCAAAACTATGTACATGCACATGAACCTGGAAACGCCGAGCTCTTCAACTAGGCCTCATTGCCATGAGCCCTTAACCTTCAGCCCTACACCCGTGAGATCCCTTGCTCGAGGTAAAGGAGCTGGAAGAGCAGCTCAAGGAGGTCTCCCGCGTGAGCGCTGGGTTGCTTACAGTAAGGTTGGGCGTCTGGGGTTTCGGGTCGGGGTTCCTGGAGAATGTCATGCTTGTTGGCTTTTCGGCATGATTCCAGTCCTCTGCTGCTTTAAGTATGTTGTTGCATAGTGGTATGTGCAAGGTGTGTAGTATGTCAGTATGGTGCAGCGTGCTGTGGACTTTTGCACAGCATGACATCGCAAGTTAGCAAGCTAGTCATACCAGTGTACCGTGAAATCTTGTAGCAACTCATCGTCAGTTATGGTAAGTTGTGTGTTTGTGCAGTCTAGAGTGTAGTCCGGGTCATGCTGCATGGCGCCATATGAGCGTGTAGCTGCCAAAAGCTTGTTCCAGTGCCTTGCAGAGTGTGTGTATTCTACTCTAAAAGTGGTATCAGCTGTCGCAGACTGCATTGTATGCCGTGTCAGAGTGCTTCTCAACCCGAATATTTTAACAGCATCTTGAAGTTTTATCACAGTGTATCTCTGCATGCTGTAGTACGACAGTTCGCAGCTTTTCACAGCATGTGCTTGTGCGTAGTGTTGCATCTGTCTGTGGCATTTGTCATGTCCCTTCCCGGACTTCCATTTAGGATCTAGGATCCGGGATTTCAGGCTTGGTGGTTGGGAGTTGGTGTCTCCGCGTGCGATGTGCGCCAAGCCCAAAGCCTGAGCTCTAAACCCAAGCCCCTATGGCAACTCCCAACATGAATTGTTTTTGCAGGCGATGAAGCTCCTAGCCCACCCCTCGAGACTCCACGACACCTCCTCTCGGGACGGTGAATGTCCGAGCCCCGGATCCTCAGTTCTGTTCCGAAGTCGGGCATTGCACTTAAGATTTAGGGTTTAGGGTTTAGGGTTTGGGGTGCAGGGTTCAGGGCTGTAGCTTGTTGCATAGCGACATCTGACATACAT